TCTCAAAAAAAAAAAAAAAAAAATTGTTGTTTATCTAAAATTCCAAGTCAAGTGGGTGCAGAGAATCACCAGCAGAAGGGAGAGCACTAGCAAAAGCAGGAGCAGCTATGAGCAGGGACTGTTTGTGTAGCTGGAGCAGAGAAGCTGTTGAGAGGGGGAGTGCAACAACACTGTCGAGGTGGGACCGGCCCAGGGAGGGCCTGTGAAGCCAGGCTCTGGGTTTGGACTTGGCTCTACAAGTCACCGTTCTCCCATCTGGACAGCTGCAACAGCCTCACGGCTCTGCAGCCACGTCCATCTCTGCCCTCTGTAGTGAGTTCTCAACACAATAGTCAGAACTCAGGTCAGACCATCCCACTTCCTGCTCAAGCCTTCGATGGCTTCTCAGGCTGTTCCTAAGAAAAGACAGCCGAACTCCTTACTCAGCCTAGAAGGCCCTGTAGAACCTGACCTTGCCTCGGTGAATCAAATCTACTCCAGAGGGTTATTGGGCAGATCAAGGAGGGGAGAGTCAGGCAATGGTTCTCAACCTTGGCTGCTCATTGGAACCATCCGGGGAGCTTTAAAAATGCAGGTGCCTGAGCTCCATCCCCAGATATTTCAGGTTAATTGGTCTGGGGTGTGACTGGGCATCAGGAATTTCAACAGATCCCCAAGTGATTTCAATGTGCAACCAAATTGGGAATGATGGGTACAAAGTGTCTTCCCTGGCACCAAGCATGTGCTTAGAGCGGTGGCATTGCCATGCTTGTAATTATGACCGCCGCATATCGAGCTTCCATCCTGTTTCCCCCAGCAGTGATTGTCACAGCTGTGTCATCACTGGTGTCCTGGCCTTGGCCTCTTCTTACTGTCCACCTCCCAATGTGCAGCACAGAACAGCTGGAAAAGTCTTTCTGGAGATGCTAACCTGACCTTCTTCCCTCACTGGCCTGCCACTCTCTGAACCTCAAGGCTTTCCAACCTGCATTCCTCTGCCCGGAATGGTCTGTAGCCCTTCTCTTAACTTGACCTCCTTCCCATCCCAAGTTCCTCTTTTATGCTGTCTTAGGACTGAACTTTTCCTCTGCCACACTCACCATACCCTGCGCTGGTTTTTCATTGTGCAGAAACTCGCTTGGCTCCTCTCTCCCCCGGCATACTTTCAGCTCCATGAGCGGAGACCCAGTCTTTCTTATTCTCCACTGTCCCCACCAAAGCCTGGCACACAATGCTGGGGTGGGCCTCGTTACATGTTGAAAAAATGAATGGATGAAAGAATGGCTGAGCATGGGAGCAATGAGGTCAGGTTGGCATTTCCAGAAAGACCTTTCCAACTGCTCTGTGCTGCATGCTGGGAGGTAGAGGATAGGAAAAGGCCAAGACCAGGACACCGGTGATGACACAGCTGTGACAATACAGCCAGGGAATGATCAGGCCTCCACTAGGACGGAGATGATGGGATGGGAGGGAGACGGATCTCAAAGACACTGGGACGGTCAAATGGACTTGTGAGGAGAAGGTGCCACATTCCCTGAGGTTTTACCCTGAGGGACAGGCAAGATGACAAGATGGAAAGAGAGCCTTCTACAGAAAGAGGCTGTCGCTGGAAAGAGCCATTCTGGTTTGGCCACGTTGAGCTGGATGTGTCAGCAGGACATCAGGGAATCAGAGGCCAGGGGCAGAGCAGCCTGGGCTGGGGCTGGGGATTTCAGAGTCACATCAATAGAGGGGAGAGTAAAAGTAAAATAAAATGTTGAAGTTTTCATGCAAGTGTTTCTTGCCACCTCTGTGAGCCAGAGTTCCCGGGGTTTGGGTGTGGGTCCCTAGGAGGCTCTTCTGTCTGCAGAGGCACATCACGAGCCCTTCCCTTGTCCCTGCAGCGATCCTGGGCATGCACACGCTCATGAGCAACCAGCAGTACTACCAGGCCCTGAGCAGCAGCTCCATCATGAACAAGGAGGGGCTCAACAGTGAGTATGCGCCCGCCCCCAGGAGGGACCTCATGCTTCTTGCTTCCTTCACTCACTGATGTTCTCTGGCTCGTTGCAGAAGTTTTAACATGTTATGTAGCGAAATCTGTTCATCCTCTCCTTGGAGTCTCCCGGGATTTGTGTCTTGTTTACAAAGGCCTTCTCTATCCCAATATTATAGAAATGTTCTCCTATATTTTCCTCTAAAAGTTTTAGAGATTTACTTTTTATATTCAACTTTTTCTTTTTTTAGACAGGGTCTTGCTCTGTCAGCCAGGCTGGAGTGCAGTGGCACAATCTTGGCTCACTGCAGCCTGGATCTCCTGGGCTTAAGCGATCTTCCCACCTCTGCCTCCTGAGTAGCTGAGGCTACAGGCGTATGCCAGCATGCCTGGCTAATTTTGTTTATTTTGTATGGAGATGAGGTCACACCGTTGCCCAGGCTGGTCTCGAACTCCTGGACTCAAGCGATCCTCCTGCCTCAGCCTCCCAAAGTGCTGGGATTACAGGCATGAGCCACCACACCTGGCCTTATATTGAACTTCTTAATCTACCTGGAGTTCATGTTTGTGTGTGCTGTGGGATGAGATCAAACTTTCAGTTTTTCGAATTGATGTCCAGTAGACCCAACACCATTCCTTGCAAGATTTATCCTTTCACCATTGGTTTGGGCCCCAGCCCTTATCGTCCACATGGGTCTGTTTCTAAGTGCCTCCTCTGTTTCATGAGCCCTTTTGTCCTTTCCTGTGCCAATATGCCAATATTGCATTGCCTTAATTACTCCACTGCATTATTCCAAAGCTGGCATTTTGGCCCCAAACAGAAATGAGGCTGCCAAAATATAATTATTCCTCCCTCTGGAAGATTGATGCATTTCTTTCCCATCCGGGCTTCCTCTTAGCCTCCCAGGAGCCCACTGAGGTCATGAGCCCCGGTAAAATGACTAGCCCTGCTTTACAGATGAAGACCCAAGGTTCAGAGAGTGTCAGTAATTCACCCAGTTCTTGCAGGACGTCAAAAGCAGAGTCCAAGTAGAACCCCAGCCTCCCGGCTCCCTTGCGGGGCTTCTTCTGAGTGGTGCCCCCTACCCCCACCCAGTCCTTGCGATGTGCAGCCTTCATGTGCCCTAAGTCTGCACACGCTCCTTTCCAGAGTATCTCTGTGTTGGCAGAAAGTGAGCCCCTTGTTTCTGTGAGCCACCTCCCTTTTATCGGTCACTCTAGGCGTGATTAAACCCACACAATACAAGCCTGTGCCCGACGAAGAACCAAATTCAACAGACGTAGAGGAAACGCTGGAAAGGATAAAGAACAACGACCCAAAACTTGAAGAAGTTAACCTCAATAATATCCGGGTAAGGTCCATTTATTTCACTTTACCTGCATGTGGATGGGGGAGGGAGGACCATGTCACCCAAACGCAAGTGGTCCAGGATTGGCTGTGCAGAGTAAACAGGGTCCTGTTTGGACTCCGGGTGCTTCTGCATCAGGAACAGGGACAAAACCTTTGCAAATGGGAGGCTTTAAGAGAGGTGGGCAGTGTAAACAAGTGCATCTGGCAGTCCTGGTTTCTTTCTGAGGATGATACCAGGCCCAGATGTTTAGCATGGGCCAACCCAGCTTCAATCTGGAAACCTGCCACGTTATTCAAAACACTGAGAGATTCTCCGAGATAAAATCATGAGTCAGACACACGCTGCTGCACGGGATCTCAAGGCTGGAAAAGTCCAGTGCCCACTAGGCTCGGGGGTAACACAGGCCCTGGGCAGGTCCTTCCCCTGTACCATTGCTGCTGCTGTATCACATTCATATTCAGCCTCGTTTTACAGCCACAGAAGGGAGCTGTTGGCCAAAATGTGTAAAGCAATATCCCAAGCTGTCTGCCCTTTTCTCTGTGGACATTTCCTTATGTGATCCCAGGGTAGGGGAGGGACAGGTAGGCAGGCAGTCCGACCCTGAACAGGCCGCCGCAGGAAGAATTCAGAGACAAATGCAGCTGCCCACCCACCTGCTCTGCCCGGAGAACAGCGGATTAGTTCTGGGAGGGGGTGAGGGTAAGGCTAGAAGCCAGCCTCCCATGCGCCTGTTCCATTTCTTTCCTTCTCCACTTTCTTTTAAGCAGCTGCCAGCCCCACAGCACCATCAGATTGGAAACCTACGCCCTAGTGTTCACCCCCACCTGGCCTCCCCATGCTCTGCTCCCACGGGAGCTAAAGTGACGCTCTGAAATGAGATTGGTAAAAACACAGCCATGTTTGCTTTCCTGTGCCCAGTAGGAGACATTGGCCCAATTGAGAATGCTGCATGCTGGCAGCAAATGCTGCCTCAGGGCCGCATGAGGGATGGAATCTCCCTGTGAGGCCCCAGCCTCTTCTAGGCCTCAGTTTCCCCTCTACACTGTGAGCCTGTTTAACCAGATCAGTGGTTTTCATCTGAGAAGATTAAAAAATACATACCAACGCCCAGGCCTGACCCTAGAGATTCTGATTCTGTTGTTCTGGGCCGGCCCAAGCATCACCATTTTGTAAAAGTTCCCCAGGAGTCTCTGATGCGCAGCCGGAGCAGAGACCCCCTGGGGTAGACGTCTCTTAAAGAGCATCATATGCAACCCCCTTACCTGTTTTCCAGAAACAGGGCTAGAGAGGGGAAGAGGCTTTCACAGAGACACACAGCAAGTCAGAAACATGGCCCATCACTGCGACCAAAGCCAGGTTCCAGCCCCTCCCCACACCCACAGTCCTAGCTCTTTGCACAATACTACATACCTTAATTTTTGCCTCTTCTCTGGCCCCCAAGTGCACAAAGAAAGAGGTTACAGGTCTTACCTGAAAATTTCAGGGAGGATTTTCTAAATCTGTTTACTAGAAAGTTCTCCCCAAATCTCAGTCATCTGGGACAAAGCCTGAACCTTTTGCCCACTCAGCTTTTTGGCCAGAGACTTGCCAGGAATCAGCGAGGATCCAGGCTTATCCATCTGCCTCAGCCTGTCCCAGGTGAGGCTTCTGATCACTCTCTCTGTTGTCTTTCTTTGTGCAGAATATCCCCATCCCCACCCTCAAGGCATATGCAGAAGCCCTGAAAGAAAACTCATATGTGAAGAAGTTCAGCATCGTGGGGACGCGGAGTAATGACCCCGTGGCGTATGTATGTACCTTTATGTTCTGTTGCATTGTGGATAGGGGGCCTTGAAACAGAAGGGTTGAAATATGTGGTCTCAGGACTGGTTGTATCCCACTAACAAAGAGCTCTATGTGGTACAGTGGAAGGCACTGGACCAGGAGCCATGAGGGGGTGTAGAGGGAACGGCTATCACCTGGCACCACCTACACGTCATCCTGGCCAATCCTCACAACCACCTCTGGTCTCAGATGTGCAGGTCTCCCCACTTTGCACTTAAAGAATCTAGGGTTGAGAGAGGTCAGGTGACTTGTTTTGTCCAGTCACACAGCAAGTGAGGGGTGGACCTGCAATTCCAGTGCAGTCACGTGACCCCTACATCTGTCTCTGTCTTCACTCGGCATATCATATTAGAACAAGGGCCTGCCCTTCCCTGTTCCTCAGTTTCTCCATCTCTAAAAATCAATGGTTTTGGCTGGGTGCGGTGGCTCACACCTGTAATTCCAGCACTTTGGGAGGTCGAGATGGGTGGATCACTTGAGGTCAGAAGTTTGAGACCAGCTTGGCCAATATGGTGAAACCCTGTCTCTACTAAAAGTATAAAAATTAGCTGGGTGTGGTGGTGCACACCTGTAATCCCAGCTACTCAGGAAGCTGAGGCAGGGGAAGTGCTTGAGCCCAGGAGGCGGAGGTTATAGTGAGTCGAGATTGCACCACTGTACTCCAGCTTGGGCGACAGAGCGAGGCTCCATCGCAAAAATAAATAAATAAATAAATAAATAAATAAATAAATAAATAAATAAAAATTAAAAAAAATAAAAACGATGGTTTCATCAGCAGGTCCCAATGATCAATTTTATTTTACCAAGTCTCAAAATATATTTCTGATCAAACTAAACTGTACTTACTCTGAAGTAGCCATCAACTCTTCTTTTTAAACATCCAGCACGTATGTATTAAGAGTCTCTCTGTGCCCAACACTGAATTAGGTTCTTGGAATGCAATTGTGACTGAACAGTCTCAGCGTCCACTTTTATAAACATTCTGGTCCATTTGGCCAAGCAGACAACTAAAGGATAACAGTACAGTGTGATTACTGCAAAGCTAGATTCCTGCAAGAAGGGCAGAAACTAGTTTATCAGGGCTAGTAATTAACCACTCTGTAGCAATCAATTTTTTTCTGATTCTTAAAATAGGTAGGACAGCGTTCTTTCATATTTTTGAAATAATAGAAATAGCTCACAGTCTCTCATTGCTGTCAGTGGGGAACCTCTGGACTGATGACCGCTGACCTCAGATCTCCATGGTTCCTTGCCCATAGGAACATAGCTGGCAAAGCCACATGCCCTGTATGCTACTATGTCATGGGTCAGAAACCAAGCACGTCCACACTGGCCCTCAGCTCAGGTCCACAAATGCTTTTTGGGCATGGACTCTGCCAGACCAACAGCTGATATCAGCCCGTGCATACCAGTATGCCCATGTCGAACACTCAGATGCTTCTGGGCCAGTTGGTAAATCAGGCTGCCAGAGCTCTGTCAGTGCCCCCACTGCCTGCCTTAGCTTTTCTCCTGGGCCCCAGTTTCTCCACTGGGACCCAGCATACAAGGAGTTAACACCTGGCAAGACAGGGCCTCCAGGACCTGCTCAGCCACCGGCATGTCCAGTTGGATCAGCCTGGCGGATTGCCTACTGGTTGTTATTTTGTTTTTTTTTTTTGTTTTTTAATTAGGTTTGATTAAGCCAGGCCAGGCCTTTCCTGGGAGCAGGAGGGTTCTGGTGGAGGATACAGAGAGGACTCTGGCTGGGTCCTTTCCCTCAGGAGGGCCAGCCAAGTCAGAGACACCATCATAGAGAAAGCTGACATGCCATCCCAGGGGCACACTGAAGTGAAGGGCACTGAGGAGGGGGTGATGATTTCAAAACAGAGGGCTTCTGGGAGCTAGCCTCTCGGCAGGTCTCAGCAAGGCCGGGGCAATGGGGTAGGCATTCCTGGCTCGGAGCGTCCTTTCAGGCAGCAGGGCCCACTGCTCAGTATGTCCTATCAGCTGCTGGTGTCCTTTTTCCTCCATGACACATCGTTTCCACCAACTGCTAATTACCTCATTTCCTTCAGAGGCTCTGATTGTCATCTACACCCCCTGGCTGAGTTCTTCTGAAACGTGCTAGGGGCCACCTAAGCTCCTCTTCTCCAGTTTGCCCTGGTCACTTGCCCAGTGGGTGGTTTCCCAGGCTTCCCTCTTCTGCTCTGTAGTGCTCAGATGAAGAAAACCACGTCTCCAAGGAATTTCCACAGGGCAATAAAGAGACAAGTGGGGAGTATGTACGGGAGGTCGAGACTCCACTGGTCACTCAATGAACAATGCCTGAGGTCCTACTATGTGCTGGGTACTGTGGGCAACATGGGATAGATAGGATGCCTTTTCAGCCCACCAGGAGTATATAGTCTAATGGCAGAGACAACGCCGGTATGAAAACAACTCCGAACGGAGGAATCCAAGGTCCATAATGAGGGAAGTACGGCTCCATTCTATGAGGATTCGAGAGGGTAGGCTACATCTAGCTGGGGAACGTCAGCAAGAGCTCTTGGAGCAAGGGGCATTGAGAATGGCCTGGAAAGATGGGCAGAGCTTGGACAGGGAAGCAGAAAGGGAAGGGAATTCCAGGTGGGAGGGATAGAAAGGGCAGAGACAAACTGGAAAAGCACTGAGCAGGCATGGGGAGCTGCGAGTAGCCCCACTGAAGAGGAGCAGTGACAGTTGACTCTGGACAGGGGAGTAGACCCAGGTCATAGAAGCTTTGGATGTGGGTTAAGCAGCATAGAATTCTCCTGCGGGGGATCAGGAGCCATGGGGGGTTGCAGGAGACACCGTCAGAGTTGTGCTTGGTGAAGGACGTGGTGGGGATCATCCTCCTGTTCCCCTAGGTGTCTTAGGACCTACCCAGAGGGGCCCCCAGCCTTGCTCAGGATGACTCATGGGTATCCTTGCTTTCTCTTGTGCTTCAAGGCCCTTGCTGAGATGCTCAAGGAGAACAAGGTGTTGAAGACACTGAACGTGGAATCCAACTTCATTTCTGGAGCTGGGATCCTACGCCTGGTGGAAGCCCTCCCATACAACACTTCTCTGGTGGAACTGAAAATTGACAACCAGGTGAGATGGGCAAGGGTCTCCTCAGGTCTGTTACTACATGCAGCTCGCTGGCCTGCAGTTTTCCCATGCTGCTGAATGGAGCTGAGACTGCTGATGATAGAAGCTCAGAGCCCAGCTTTGAGGCACCTCCAAGGTCCCCAAAGTTCAAACCCTCTATCATGCTCACCTTCCTTCTTCATCGCTCCCACTATGTGCTCTTCCAGTTCTGCTTGAGTCCCTCTCATGATGGGGGACACACTCCTTACCAACATCACCACTTCCATTCTTAGGCAATGAGCACATTCTTCCTTATATCCGGTAGAAGTCAGCTCCCTGTAAGTCCTGTTTGTTGGGCTTAGTTCTGTTTTCTGCTTCACCCAGGACATCTGTTGCACAGATCTCATGAACCACTAAGCTCTCCTTCTCCAGGTTAAAATCCCCAGTTTTCTTCATTCACCCCCGTTCAATGGGGCTTTTGAGTTTCCTCACCATTCAGATTACTCTCTAAGCAAATTCCAGTTTGTCTTTATTCTTATGGAGTTACCGTTTCTCTGTAACTTCTGTGGGTCAGTCATTTATCTGCAGAGCCACTCTTTCAGCTCTGACTTTCCAAGAGGATGCTAATAACAATATCTTATATGTTACATGTGTTGAGGGTCTCCTGTGGGACAGGCTCTGAGCTACACATCTGACATCCGTCATATTTGATCTTCACAACAACGCTACAGAATGTGGGTATCATCAGTCTCAGTTTTCAGAAAACAGTCCAGACAGGCCAATGATAAGCCCCTTTTTCAGAGTCATAGGGTCAGCATTTAGGAAGCAGGATGTGGCCGGGCGCGGTGGCTCAAGCCTGTAATCCCAGCACTTTGGGAGGCCGAGACGGGCGGATCACGAGGTCAGGAGATCGAGACCATCCTGGCTAACACGGTGAAACCCCATCTCTACTAAAAAATACAAAAAAAAAAACTAGCCGGGCGAGGTGGTGGGCGCTTGTAGTCCCAGCTACTCGGGAGGCTGAGGCAGGAGAATGGTGTAAACCTGGGAGGCGGAGCTTGCAGTGAGCTGAGATCCGGCCACTGCACTCCAGCCCGGGCGACAGAGCGAGACTCCGTCTCAAAAAAAAAAAAAGGAAGCAGGATGTGAATCCAGGTCTCCTTGACTCTAAAACTCGCACTTCTTCCAGTGTAGCATGTTGCTTTTGATGTTAAAATGCTTTCTTTTTTATGAATGGGGACTCAGTTGTTTTTTCCTACTACATGAAAATTTTTGCTGAATGGTTGTGTAAATGTATGTATGAGAAAAAGATTGGAATGAAATATTACAAAATTCTAAACAGTGGTTATACCTGAGTCAGACTATCACAAGTTTTTAACTTTTTTATTGTAAAATATGGCAAACATACAGAAAACTGCATAAAACTTAAATACAGAACTTAAGGAATCATAACAGGCATGTAACCCCTGTCCAGGTCAAGAAACGAAACATTACCAACCTCCAGAAGACTTTGACTGTCCCTTTCCCAACCATAACCCTTTCAAAACCATTCACAACTTGCTCCCCACTCACTTTCATGCCTCCATTCCTTTTCCTCCTCGTGGAATGTCCTCCCCTGCCTCTACCCTCTTCTTTGCCTTCTGGGTTTAGTTGAGGCTTCTCTTTATCTTAGTGGTGTTCTAGAGACAGCTTGCACCAGCTTGCAAGAGCTGATTGTGGATATCTCTTCCCGAGACCAATGATGGCACATCAGTGCCTTGAATTGCTCATGGTAGGTGGGAGTATTTACACTATGGAAATTGGCAAATAGGCACATCATGCATCAGGGCTTTTTTTTTTCTTTGAGATCCAGGTTATTACTGTCTTCTCCCACTAGTCTGCCATGGCTCCTCCAAACCTCTGCCCAAAGAGAGTCAGATACCTCTTCCTCTGGGCTCCCCTAGCACCTTGGCTTCCCTTGAGCTTCCCAGAAGCTGGTGCTATGTCTGAGGCATCTCCTTATCTCAGTGCCCAGCTCAGGACCTCGCCCTTCAAGGGTGCCTGGTAAGGAAGTTTGCCCTGGATGGTCGTGCATATTGTTCACAGCTCAATGAGACAGCAGAGAACAAAATTCAACTCGGAATCCACTCTCAGAGCTGTGTGCCTCAGTATGGGGCTTTGTTCACCCAGAGAGGGCACTTTTTTCTAGTTTATATAAAGCAGTCACATGAGCTGGCAGCAGCCGTGTCACGTGCATTTGTTGCATCGGACTCCTTGCATCTCTCGTGTGCCAGTGGTCTTGCTGCTGCCTCGCTCATTCTGAGGCCATCCCCACCCCTACCCCTTCTGCGCCCTCCCTTAGCCATTGCTGACTCTGCACCATTGGAGGCAAGAGGGGCAGAGCAGATGGAACAAAGGCATGCAGCAGGCTTGGCAGCAGCTCTGGGCCAGGCCCTGGGATTGGCTACTCATGTGAATCCCAGCCTGGCCTGGCAGGAGGTCAGGGTCTACCCATAGTCAGCTGAAACTTAACTCCCAGGGCAGAATGTCAGCCAAAGAAGACTGGGAGCACTGGCTTCAGGTCACTGTGGTGGCAGCTGCCAGGGAGTTGCCCCTTCCCTCCACACGCTACCCCCTCCCAGAGTCCAAGATGGAGCCCATGCTAACCATTGCTCTTACCTTAGCGGAACACCCTGGTTCAAAAACATTCACTTCCCTGAGCCTCAGTTTCCTTGCTTGTAAAATGGGGATTATAAGAATCTCTGCTTCTAAGGAGATAACAGATGTAAACTGAAGTTGTTAACTTCTAAAATTACTGGGAAGGTGATCTAGGGGATTCACACGCTATTCTAAGAGTTAATTTCCTGAGCAGGTTATCATGAGCCAAAACCATACTGGGTACTTTGTGCCTATTATCTAATTTAATGTTCACAAAGACTCTGTAAGTGGCATTACAACCCATCCCCATATCACAGATGAGGAAACTGAGTGCCAGGCAGGCTATGCAACCTGCCCAAGGCCACACAACAAGCGAGAGGGGCAAGATTCAAACCCAGGTCTGTGTGACCCCAGAGTCCATGTATAATGCTACGGCTGTCTGGGTTCTTGAAGCAGCTGTAGTTTCATGTGACATCAGCCTGGCTTTTCTCATCTGTCCTCTGGCCTGGGGCCTGAGCACTGGTCAGCACCACCCCCATCCAATGAGCCTCTTTTCTGGTTCATCTGGACATGCTGATGAACGCTGGCTGCTTGCCAGGACGGTGCTGGGCTGTGTGTGGGACTGAGGCTCCAGGTCCGCCCTCCAGAAACTTCCTCACCAGATGGGAGGAAAGATGTTTGCAGAAATGACCATCATACCAGGTGCTCCAGCAGCCAGACGCTGGGCTGTGAGGTCCATCAGAGGGAGCAGTCTCAGTCAGGAATAGGGATCAGGGAGGGTTGCTTGGAGGAGGCAGATTTTGAGATTAACCCGTAGATGCTGGGTAGACCCTGACTTCCCACCCACAGGGTGAAAAGTATCTCAGGTGACATGGAGGCCATGGCATCCCAGGTGCAGAGAGGAGTGGGAAAAGCCATGGAGCCCATCCACACAGACTCACAGTACCCCCAGAGGAAAGCCAGAAAGGGGATTAGGAGTCAGAGAGCTTTGAATGGGTAGGTTTAGGGAAAGTGGGCTGTGGCTGTGCTCTGGGAAGATGGTTCCAGCTGGGTGGGAGGGGACTGGGGGCAAGGAGAGGGTATCAGGGCCCAGGAGATCAGCCAGGGGTTATGGCCCCCAGGACCAGGGGGCTGTGGGGAGGTGCTCCTGCCTAACTGGAGTTGGGTCCAGCAGGGGAGGGGCTGAAGGCAGGTCTCAGGGAGGGGGCTCTGCTGACTCAGGCTCAGGAGGAGGCCACCAGTGCCTCCCCTTCAGGTGTCCCAGCCCCACTGGGGGGAGGCAGGGCAGTGTGACACAGAGGAGGTGGTGAGTGGCATTTGATTTATTCCTTTATTCCTCATTCCTGGTTAGTCACTGAGGTCCTTGGAGACGGGAGCTTTTTCCTCAGTCCTGTGCTTATAACCTGTGGCAGCAAGTCTCTGTCCTTCTTTCTCCTTATACGGCCAGGGAAAGGGACTTGGGGAGTTCTGCCCAGGGTGACACGGTGCTGGCTCAGGACGCAGTTTGGGAACCAGGACTTTGAAGCTGTTTGTTGACTCAAAGAGTCTATCTCCAGCAATGTTCTGTTGCCGCCTGCAATTGCGCCAAGACCACGATGAATTGGAAAAGGGCAGAGCAGGCACCAGAGCCAGAAGGCACTGAGACGACGTCTAGCCTAGTCCTCCTTTCACAGGCAGGGAGACTGAGGATGAGAGAAAGGATGGGACTAGCCCAAGGCCACGGGCCAGGTTAGTGGCAGAGCTGGGTTGGAGCTGCAGTATCCTGGCTGCACTGATGGATGGATGAGAGAGACCCTGTGGGCCCCGAGGGAGCCTGCAGGCCCGGCCCAGGCCAAACAGGCCATCTCCACACATGGCTTCTCTGCTGCTCTCACCAAACTCTCCAAAATCCCCACAGAGCTGCTCTTCCCCAGGACCCCCAAGGCACAGGGGGGCCCTGCTCCCCAGGCCAGACAAGGCCTGGGGTGAGCCCCACAAATGAGAATATGTATAATGTCTGGGGTAGTGGCCGCTTCCTCACTTTTTATTCCAATATTTGACATGAGGATGTGCTTAATATTTTGAAGAGAAGTTAAAGTAGATGGATTGTGCTGTCTTGTTTTCCCAGACTGGATGATTTGTATCTGGCTTTTTTTACTCAACATTGTGAGTGTATCAGTTATCTGTAGCTGTGTAACAAACTATCCCCAAATACAGCAACTTAAACAGCCTCAGAGCCCTGGCATAAAACAACAATAAACATGTATTAACTCACCATTTCTGAGGGCCAGGAATCCAGGAGCAGTGTGGCCGGCTGACTTCGCCCAGAGTGCGTGATCCGAGGTGGAAGAACTGCTTCCACCATGGCTCCCTCATGGCATGGGCAGGAGACCTCAGCACCTTGCTGT